CTGGGAGCTGTTGTCGGGTGCAGCCAAATTGATTCCGAGTCTAGCCAGCCTGGGTGACAGAGTGGATACGTCCCACAGGGCTTTCTGGGCTGTTGTTTTTATGGGGAAGGAGGCCCGGCCGGCGCCATGTGAGAGAGAGGGAGCCGGCTGCTTCTGCAAAGCTGCACAGCCGTGGAACGCTCTGGGGGCTGAGTGAGTGTTGCTGCATAATTCTACAGGGTCCCCTAAGTTTGAATCGACTAGACAGCAATGGGTTTAATTTCCATAGACGCAGGTTGACTGGCCCTTCTCCCAAGGGACCACGGGTGGATTTGAACCACCAACCTTTGGGTGAGCACTTACCCCGTTTGCACCGGGGCTCCTCAGTGGTAGTTGGCCACACACTGACCCTCAGGGACCCTTGGCGTTCCTGGGTATTTTCTGCTGTGGCTCCGCTTGGACCTGCTTCTGTGCAAATCCCTACAGCAGAGGCTGGGAGGACCACTAGCCCAACCCATTCTCCAGGAGGGGAAGTTGAGGCTTGAAGGAGAAGCCTGCCAAAGTCACAGGGCCAGGATCAGGGCCTCAGGGGCTGGCTCAAACATCAGGGGACCTGCTGCTGCCTCCTTTGCTCCCTTTGTCTGGGGAGCCTAGCTGGGTTACGGGAGGCCTCCATCCAGGCTCTAGGCACCTTGGGTGCTGCGTTCCACAGTTAAGAGGACACCAAGCACTTCCCAGACCCCTTGGGACTGGCTGGGTGAGCGTGTGGCGGCCTTAGATGTCCATCCTCAGACTCGTTTTGTGCGTGGCAGAGAAATCTGAGAAAATGCAGACAGACCCTTGGAGGCAGCGTTTGGATTTTGCTGGAGGGAGAGGATTTTGCTTCATGGAAAGAAACAGAAGGGCGTTTGAATGACAGGTTAACAGGGTAGACAAGCGCACAGGCACAGGCTCCTGTACTTCCCTGAAACGCGTTCCCGGCGCCCACAGATCCGCAGAAAGGAAAGCTGGATGGGCCCGTGGGGGAACGTGGCCAGCGCAGCTCATTGGACACTGGAGCAAACTCTGTCCACCCCCCAAACCCCCCGACATTGGCTGAAGGCCTAACTAGCTGCTAGGCCTGGGTGGGAGCCAAGAGTCTTGATGCACAGACGGGGCTTCTGTCAGCAGGAGCCACTTCTAGTCGCAGAGAGCGTCCGGAGTGCTGAGTGCCTATGGGGAGCAAACAGCCTGGTAATAGCTGTTCCAGGTTGCCTCTGTGCTCTGGTGCTGCTGTGAAGGAGGTACCACGAGGGGGTGGCTGTAGCAAACAGAAAGATCTCCTCTGGCCGCTTAGGAGGCTGCAAGTCTGAACTCTGCACCAACTGTAAGGAAAGGCAATGTTTTCTCTCTGTCTCCCGATTCCAGGACGTGCTCAGCACAGGGACCTTGAGTCCAAAGGACATGTTCTGCTCCTGGTTCTTCCCTCTGGATGGTAGTAGGTCTCTGGCTTTCTGCTGGCTTCCCTCTTACTCAGTCTCCTGCAAGATAAGAGATGACCCAGGCCCCGACATCAGAACAACACTGTGATCTCATGTTGTGTTGCAAAACAAAAAAGCTCACATGGCCGTTATGTAATCTCCTGTCAACTTGGGCGAAGGGGTGGAGTCCTAGTCTGTCAAGCAGGTCCAGCCAATCATGCCTCTGTGTGGGCATGGCCTTCTCCTGAGGATTCTGGAAACTCCCGTTTCCTCCCTGGAGGCGGTACACAGAATGTCTCTGCTACACATTCCTGTTGACAAGCCACATGGAGCTATGCTGATGGCAGCCAGAGCCCTGGAGATGCTTCCACCGCCATTGGATCCACAGGACTTTCCACCCACCTGTGTTCAGGATGATTGCATGTGCTGTGTGAGTCTGAAGAGGAATTTATAGATTGGTATTGGACATATGGGCTAATATCGGACTTATGGACTTAATCTGGACTGGGCTGGGGTGTTTCATGGATGCATAATTGCTTCTTGATATAGAATTCTCTTTCATATATGTGAGTGTCAATGAATTTGCTTCTCTGGTCAACTGGACTAATACAACCCATGACCAAGGAGTCATTTCTGATTCACAGAGAAGAGCTGCCTCTGGGGGTTTCCTGGGTTGTCAGTCTTCATGGGAGCAGAAAGCCTCATCTTTCTCCCAAGAAGTAGCTGGTGGGTTTGAACTGCTGACCTTGAGGTTACCAGCTCAATGCATAACTCACTACACCACCAAGACTTCGAGGGTGTTGTATCCTGCTCTGATCCCATTACTACTGATTGGCTGTTCACATCATATCCCATCCCATCCCATCCCGGGGGATACTAACATTGTCACATAGCTGCCACATGATGTCCTTACATAGCTGCCGAACTGCCCAGCCTCATGCACCCAGAGTTTGGGGGGACACAATTTGACCCAATTCAGACCCAGATCCCATTCAACAGCTGGCTATCCAGTGTATCCTTTGGGCTGGAGGCGGGGGGAGGACAGAGGTGAATGAAATGCCTGGGGAGTTTGTTGCTCAGTGGGGAAACCCCAACTTGTACGCCCATCCTCATGGTACCTGCTAGAAGAAGGTGTGGCCCGTGGTGGCCAGTGGCGTCTCTGTGGAGTGCATGACACCTGGCTTGTCTTTGAAGAGTGCTGCTGTCCCTTCTTTCTCTGCAACGGGAACTGCCTGCCATGCCTATCCCACCCTTGTGCTCTGGAAGCAGGGAGTACAGTGAACCCTCGTTTATCGCGGCTAATCGGTTCTAGACCCTACCGTGATAAATGAAATTCCGCGAAGTAGGATTCCTTATTTGTAAATCAAATATTTTCGTAGTTAGAGCATAGAGGACATGAAAAAACACCCTTTAGTCACCATTACACTCGTATTACCCAATTTATTAAACGAAAAAGGGAAAATACAGTAAAACATTTTGGATGTTACAATTATCATTTATTATATTATTTATGGCATCAAGCATGTACAGTATGAGCCAATCAGTGGCAGTAATGACAGAGCATGTGCTGTTACGCAAAAACCGCGATAGAGTGAAGCTGCGGAAGTCGAAGTGCGAAGTGGCGAGGGCTCACTGTATGCAGTCTACATTTTCCCTCAAGGAGGAAATGTTACCCCAGGATGGAATATGCTGAAAGTCCCACCTGTACTTGGTGCAGAAGGTGAACTTTTGGATGTGGAACCGATTTCAGACCTTTGGGGTGATGTGGGCAAAGGGTGGAGTGTCATGCATGAAATAGTGTTTTCCTGAAAATTGTATTATTAATCCTACTGGACCTGTGGTGATCCCACTAGTGGGAACAGGCTTTTTGTTGTTGCTGTCTGTGTGAAGAGATTAGTAGAGGGTGTGTTTTAAGTTGGTCTCTTGCGGTATAAAAGCAGAGGGAAAAAAAAGCTGAAGGAAGTAGATGCCTGTCCATATGATGTTTCTGAGGATCCACAGCATGGACAACCCTATAGGACAGGGCAGAACTGCCCCCTGTGGGTTCTCGAGAGGGTAAATATTTACCAGAGCAGACTGCCTCCTCTTTCTCCCTCAGAGTGATGGGTGGGTTTGAACCACCGGTGTGGTGGTTGGTTAGCAATCCAGTGTTGACCTCACAGCACCACCAGGGCTGGTGCTTCAATCTGATGGCCAGTCCCTCATGCCCAGGCCCTTGTCCCTGTCACCGAGTGCCTCTCAAGAGTGTAGTTTCTAGAAAGTTCTCCATCAGGTCAGGGCCCAGGTTCCTGGCTCTGGCTTGGGGCAGGCGGGGACTGGGGGTAGCTGGGGGTAGGGGTAGGGAACCTGCTTAGCAAATGGGGGTCTGAGGGACAGCAAAGTCAAGTTCTTGGCCAGCCGCCCCCAGGGAGCCAATGGGCTGATCTTCCATCAGTGAGAGGACTGAGTTGAAAACAGCTTCTGGGGGTGGGGTGGGGAGGAAACGCCAAGGAGGCAGCCGAGGCAGAAGCCCGAGAGGGCGATCCTCAGTCCCTTAGCTCAAATTGGCCACCCCAGAGGGAATGTTTCTCCCCACAGCAGAAACCCAGTGCTCAGCCTTGTTGGGAACTCATCCCAGGAGGCAGCTCTGCTGGGGCCAGGGGCTGCCGGTGGGAGTACTCTCCAGTGTATTCAGAGAACTACGGCCGGCCACTGCTCTCTGCCCGGAAGCTGTTGGACTCCACCCCCGCCCCGTGCTTCCGTCTGTCCGTCTGTCCCTTCTTTTCTTTCTGCTTCTCTGAAGGAGTCCCTGGGTGGCGCAAAGGGTTAAGCGCCGAGCTGTTAGCCAAACCGTTGGCGGTGGAATTGCACCTAGAGGAGCCATGGGGACCTGGTGGTGGGCGTAGTGGGTTATGTGCTGGGGCTGCCCACTGCAGGGTCAGCGGTTTGAAGCCACCAACCGCTCCGAGGGATTAGCCCGAGACTTTCTCCTCCTGTAAAGATGGACAACCTCGGAAACCCTCAGGGACCATTCTACTCTGTTTTATTCCATCCCTATCCATTGGAATCAGCTTGAGGGCAGTGAGGGGCAGTGGAAGAGAGAGCCCCCCGGGTGACCTAAGATCACAGCTCAGAACCCGGCGAAGTAGCCCCACATCTCCTTAGGGTGCCATGCGTCGGAATCGAAGGGCTGGCTGCGGATTTTGTCCTTAGCATTTTCTCTTTACTTCTTCCTCTCCCTGGATGAGAGCATTTGAACTCCCTGCTGTAAGTAAGGCGGGAGGGGGTGGGGGTGGCAGGCTGAGCCCCAGACCAGGTGCAGCCCAGTCGATTCTGACTCACAGCGACCCCACGTGTGGCCAAGTGGAACGGCACTGCGTGTGGGTTCTTTCAAAGGCGGATGGGTGGATCTCTGGGCCTTTTCTCTGAGGCCCCTCTGGGTGGATTGGAAGCCCCTGCCCTTCCCTTCGCAGGTGAGCGGGGCCACCGGGTCCCTGGTCAGTAGACATGCCCCAGGCATGTCGTGCTCACATGTCATAATCGCTGTGTGACCTGTGGCCTCTCTCTGCTTCCCTCCTGCAGAAATCCGAGAGGCCTTCCGGGTTCTGGACCGAGACGGGAACGGCTTCATCTCCAAGCAGGAGCTGGGCATGGCCATGCGCTCGCTGGGGTACATGCCGAGTGAGGTGGAGCTGGCCATCATCATGCAGCGCCTGGACATGGACGGTGAGGCTGGCCGAGGGCCCTGCACTCTGTGCCAAAGGTCGTGGGTTCAAAACTTGGTTACCCTCGGCGCGATGGAGGCCTGGACTCCAGGAGGGTTTTTCCAAGCAACACTCACCCCCTGGAAGCTGCAGGGGGCTGCAGGGAAGGTTCTGGAGCAGCTGCTGAGAGAGGGGCGCGGGAGGACGCCCCAGCCACTCCTCTCTTCTCAGCCGGTGCAGTCCCCCTTCTTCGAGTCTAAATAGCTTTACTGAGCTAGAACCCGCATGTTAGGTAAAGTCTACCTGCACAGCCTCACGGGGCGCAGCTCGGCAACGTTCAGCAAGTCTGTCGATTTGTGCAGCTGTTTCCTCCAGCGGTTTTGAACCTTTAAAGAAACCCTGACACTCCCCCACAGCCCCCCACCCCCCGCCAGGTTATTTGGTCCCAATATATCCCCATCAGCCCTAGCTGCCACTCCGTGTCCTCCTGGATTTGCCTTTTCTGGGCCGCCCGTGTCAGTGGCCCCATCCCACATGTGTGTCTCTGTGATTGGCGTCTCTCTCTCAGGCGGTACTCTCTGCTGGGACTGTGGAATAACTGTCCACCATATGGGCCTGCGCGGCACAGCAGGTTCTGAGCCGGAGTGCTAACGTTCCCGGGAGCAATACGAGGCTTCTGCTCCGGAAAGATTGACAGTGTCAGAACCCACAGTCTGAATATGAATGATCTCCTCCCATGGTTCCTGGTGTGAATCGCGGCCAAAGGGGCTAAAAGCAAGGCGGTTAGAAACTGTTCACTGGCGGGGTGGGGGCAGGCGGCATGGGTGGTCCGGGTCACATCTGTGGTTCCTTTGGCAGTCCGTGCCACTTGCAGTCTTCCTTGCCAGTGCGTTCCAGAGCTTCTGTGATGCCGCCCTGATGCCCTTCTCTTCGTGGGTCTCTGGAGCTAGTTTGTTTTGGACAGAAACCCAGGCTCTAATTCTACCCTTCCTGGGCAGCTTCTGTACCTGGGGTCCTCTGCGGAGATTCGGCCCTACCTAATTAAGTTTCTCTGTGGAGTGTTACGTGGCAAGGTTGATTCTCTGAGGCCCTACGTGGTTCTCAACCTGTGGGTCGTGACCCCTTTGGGGGTCAAACGACCCTTTCACAGGGGTTGCTTAAGACCATTGGAAAACACATATTTCCGACGGTCTCAGGAACCGAGACACCGCTCCTCAACCTTTGCACCGGCGTTGGCTTTGACGCACACTGTCGCAAAATGTAGCACTGTAATTTACTGTTGTTATATTAAGACTGTTACCCATGTTACACCATGCTTCAAGACAACATTTCATTTATTCGTCATTAGAAAAAAATATTTCACAATATAGAATGACGCCTTGTTTTTGTGATTCATCACTATGCTTTAAGTATGTTCAGTTTGTAACCATGAAAATACATCCTGCCTATCGGATATTTATATGACAATTCATAACAGTAGCAAAATGACAGTGATGAAGTAGCAACGAAATCATGTTATGATTGGGGGTCCCCACCACAAGAGGAAGTGTATGAAAGGGTCGCGGCATGAGGGTGATGGAGAATCACTGTCTTAGGAGGATGTTGCCAGTGGCTAAGTGTCTGGTGCTGGACCAGAGAGTCTGTATCTGGTGCCCCACACACTGAAATACCTGGGGGCCACAGGAGCAGGGAGGGGCTCCGTCTTGGGGCCGATGTGGCACCGTTGTGCCCCTCCCCCTCCCCTCGAAGGGCCTCTTTCTCTCTGGGCTCCTGGACTCTTTGCCCGGACCATGAAACCATCCCTTCTGAGCTGGTACAGCAGGCACCTGCTTGTGTAACTGGAACTGCCTGGAGGAAGCCACTGGCCCAGGGGTCCTGAACCCACGCTCCAGACATTGCCCACCTGGTGTGGCCCCTTTTCCACTAGAGGACAGGCAGAAGGGGGCACCCAGCTCCAAAACAGGCGGGTGCGCTCATGCACCCTGCATGTGCATGAGTCAGAACTGAAACTTCCCCCCAGGAGGGCTTGCTCTCAGATTCCTGGCTGCAAAGACCCCGTCTTGGCCTTTTCTTGACTCTTTCTCCCACTTGGACCTCTTCCTCTTGTTCACGGGTGGAAATCCGGGTGGGGCCCATGCCCCAAGGCTCCAAGCCAGAAGGGTGTGCTTTGCTCCCACCCAGAATGCCCTTGGAAGACCCGGCTGGCCGTCTCCTTTCGAGGGTCTCAGCCATGGAAACCGTAGGGAGTGCAGCTCTCTGCACACAGGGGGTGTCCAGGGGTCGGAGCCCACTCAGCTGGGACTGGTGGTCATGTTTGCTTGTTTATTAATGTTAATCTATCCATCTACCGACTTGTCTGTCTGCCTACTTACCTGTCCTATCAGAGCCCTGGTGGTGGTGTAGTGGTTAGGGGTTGGAGAGCTAACCTCAAGAGGAACAATTTGAAACTCCCCAACTGCTCTGTGGGAGACAGGGGAGGCTTTCGACTCCCGTAAAGAGTGACAGTCTCAGAAACTCACAGGGGTCCTGCTACCCTGGCCTGTAGGGTCACATCTGGGTGAGTCAGCATCTACTCATTGGCACTGAGGTTTTGGTATATATTCAGTATTTTATTTCTTCCCCATCATCCTCTGCAGCTAAGCTGACCTCCTTCCCATGAGGCCAGCACTCACTTCTCCTGGCTGCTCTTCGTCAGATTTCTCTCGGGCCACGCTCTGCAACCCTTCTCTTCCAGGATCCCAGAAAGCCTCGGGCCCCGGTGTGCTCAGCCACCCTCTCAAGTCAGCATTCTAGTGACATGTCCCCCTGGAAGGAGCTGGTCAACCAGGCGCTCTGGGAATCCTTGCTAAAGGCTGCTCTAGAGCCAGGCTGAGAAGGGCCGCACCCTCTCCTCAGATCTGTGCACCCAGAGCAGCTGCTGCTCCCCGCCCCCAGCCCCCTGGGAGAGCTTCCGCCATCATTCACTGTGGAGAAGGGCTGTGTGTCCTCAGAGCCCGGGGCTGATTGCTGGCTACTGTCCGTGTTTTCAGTGGGCTCATCCTCCATCCTGCTCTGGTCATCTGCAGTGGGAGCAGCTAGCTTGGCTAGCAGTTTCCAGAAACAGCCAAACCAGGACACATTCCCAGCCACCCCGGGACCCCACCTGGGCCCTACTCATGTGTCCTGGTGCAGCCCTTGCCTCCTCTCAGGGGCCCCCACCCCTCTCCTGAGCTTAAGCAACAAGCATCCTTCTTCCTCCCCTCGTCCCCCATTTCCCTTCTGCTACCCACATGGACAGAATCCCATGAGCCCCCACAGATGTGGACTGCTGACAGGAGCAGGTGATGTGGACGTTTTCTGCGGTCCATCCCTGCCTGGAAGCAGGGCAGATCCTGTCCTTTTCAGCTTGGGGAGGACTGAACTGGTCACCCGTGTGAACGAGCTTGCTATTTCCTATGGCCGGAACTGTGTGCTCATGGTTGTCCTTTGAGATAAGCACCTCAGCCCATAAGAACACAATTATGGGCGGCATCACCCGAGGTTCAGTCAGCGATGCCCCCATTGGTGCATGGGGCCCTGGGACCCTTCTTTCAAGTGTCTGTCTGTGGCAAGTCCTAATCCTGGCTGCACTAGCAATCCTTTCATGACTTTTCTGTGTCGCTGGGTCCCTGCTGGAAGGCAGGAAAGGACTGCATCCATCTCAACATCACATCCGGTTTGGGTGCTTTGGGGCTGGCCCAAGGTCTGTTTTTCACAAGGTCACTGCTAACTTTGTTGAGTTGCCTCTGACTCATGGTCAACCAGCATGGACCCGTGCCCATCCTGGGTCATCTCAATAGCCCTGGGAGACCCGAATCCACTGTTGGGGCCACAGGGTCTCAGACCTCCTCTTGTCTGACCCTCTACTTTTCCAAGCATGATGTCCTTTACTGGCCGTTGCTCTTGGTCGATGATGTGGCCAATGGAAGTGAGCCCACGGATGTGACATGTTTTTAGACTTTTGGTCTAAAAACAACATCTTTGGCCTGAAGAGAAAGCTCCAGGTATGCGGGGTCCTTTCATGTGTGTGTTTGTCCAGGTAGACTAGAGAAACAATTTCATAGACACTTATGTGTATATGAAAGAGCTTTATATATACAAAAGCAATTGAATATTGAGAAAACATCCCAGTCCAGTCCAGATCAAGTCCATAAGTCTAATATTAGCCCATATGTCCCATACCAATCGATAAATTCCTCTTCAGACTCACACAACACATGCAATGACCCCGGCCAGTGGGTAGAATGTCTCGTGGATCTAGTGGCAGTAGAAGCATCTCAGTGCTGGCATGGGTCTCCACGTGGCTTCTCCAGCTCCAGGGCTCTAGTATAACTCCATGTGTCTTGTCAGCAGGAATGTCTCCCAGGGAGTGAGTGTGTGTCCCACCTCCAGCGAGTTATTTATCTCCTTAGCGCCTCCAAATGAGATCATCAAGCTGCGACCTGATTGACACCCCTTCACTCTTAATAGTCTCAAGTTGACAACGGATTATGTAACCACTACAATGTGCTTCCCATCCCTGAGACGGGCTGGGTGTGGCTATGGCTGCTGTAAAGAAAGACCCTGGGTGGGTGACTCTAAAGAACACAAGCTCTTTCCTCACCAATCCTGAGGAGGCCGCTAGTGTCAATTCCTCCCTTGCAGGTCGCCTGGGCTTGCCAGTGAGCTTGTTTCTCTTGGCGTCTCTCCTCCCCTATGCGCACCTCTGTTTCGAGTCTGCTTTCTTTGTAAGTTAGAAAAGGACATGACATCCATACAGATGTAGGAGAGCACATCGTTCAGTCCCAAATATTCACTAAGCAATTCCTTCCTCTACAGCATTGCCCGGAGAGCACCAGACCGGTCCAGGGCGTGCTGCAAAGGCAGATACCCACACTGCATCATGCAGGATAGGTGGCATGGTTGTATGGGGCTTTTCCATCGCCACCTGGGCACCAAATACTTGTTCTGCTCTGAAAAGGCTGTGGGAGGCCCCCTAAGTTTGGGAATTGATGCTCTACATGATAACAGGACAGGCCCGTCATCCAGAGCTTACAAACAGTTGGCCACATGAACCCAAGCTTCAGTCAGCAGCCCCTCCAGCCGCGACGGTAAGCGACGGTAAGCACAGAATGTCTGCTGTGCACATACCTTTCAGGAAGAGAAGCAGCATGGACCACTGTGCTTTTTGTCTCAGTCTAACACTTAGCGATACATCGTCATACCTATCCCCCTGGACTTCCCCCAAACCACCGCCACTCACAGTG